GAGCCTACAGACGGACACGCCTTGCTGTTTAACTTATTCACTGGAAAATGGGATATAAAAAGCTACCAGAAAGTACATTAGAATCTAACGCGTCGCCTGATCTCCTTTTCGTTCGCCGAGACCGACCACGTACGAGTAGTTCCTTACGTACAGAATGTCACAACAGCTGGGTCACGTATGACAAGTGTTGTGTACAAAATGAAGTCATTGGGACACCTCCTTATATTCATGTCTGAGATGTTATCGTTAAGGATACTACCTACACCCTCAGAGAATCTGAAACCATCTCAATTATGAAGATTCCAAAAGCAGATACCACCTCGCACTCACAGTAGTTAGGAACGCTACCAGATCGGCCACAGCCCTGCATTCTCATTCCGAATGGAATCTTTCAACGTCTGCTCCTAATATGATTTTTCAAGTCGCTACGTAATACACAACAGATCTTTTATCGAGATTTTCAGTACAATAATAATTAAGCCTGTATTTGCGAAACAGGCGAGCGAAATTAATACCTTAAAAGGTGAAGCTATCCCTGTAACAAGCCGTGAAAGCCCATAGGATTGTGAGACGTCGAGGCTCCCACATGTTCTAGACAGTCGGCTCACCGATGACGGTGAGGTTGTCAGCCTTACATGTCGGCCACCATTTACCCCCAGGGAGATTCCTGGTACTCATTTCTGTTAGAAGCTGAGTCGGCCCCATGTCCACAGCGCGGCTGGATTAGGTAAATTGAAAAAATCAATTACCTCATCGAGAATCAAACCCGCAACATTCCGGCTTGTAGTATTCGCTTATAATAAATAAAAACGTAATTAATATTCAACAACTCATGAAGTTAGTATACAGATATTGCGAGGAGTCAGTCAGTCAGTCAGTCAGACGAGGAGTCAAACATGGCGCTGAGGCTGTTATTGAATATAGTTAACTGATACGTACAAAATCTACATTTAGACATATTGTACATATATTTTTGTTCTTGCAGGTTCTATCTGGAGCTTGTTACCCGCAGTTCCCTCCAAGCGTAATTTGCTGCGACTTCGCAGGTGGCACAGGTTGGCTCCTTCTTTTTTGTAGCATTTTTTTTATTGCTAGTGGGGTGGGACTAAGTCCCTTGTACTGCGGCCACTTCTGGCCTATTGTACCGGGCCCAGATGATAGGTGAGGGTGACTGTGGAGCAATTGGTGGAATGAAGATTGGCAGGGGAAACCGATTACTGGGAGAAAACCTGCCCCAGCGCCACTTTGTCCACCACAAAATCCCACTTGACTAAACGCGGGATCGAACCCGGGCCGCCGCGGTGGGAAGCCAACGACTAACCGCTTGAGCAATGGCGCGGCCTTTTTTTATAGCATATTCATGTTATTGTAAGGTACGTGGAAGAACCTGTCACGTCATTCCGTAGCATGTGACATCCACATTACAGAACCCCAGTTAAGGAGTTGTGCAAACGAACTTCTTTTCAAAATGACATCTTCCAAACTACGGCACTGAAAATCAGAAATGCAAAAGTCACAACTTTCTAAACAAATCGCAGGTTTCGATGTTTCCAATTAAAATCACTAGAAACAAAAATTGGCGTTGGTACGACTAATGATCAACTACCAATTTTAAATTTCACAAAATAATCAAAGATGTTGTAAATTAAGTTGGTTGTATAATAATTGAAATAAAAAATCTCTATTAAGAAAATATCGACTCGGAAAACACGTTCCGGCCGTAACGAAACGACGCACAACAGAAGTTCTGTTGGAAACGGGACGTTTCTACGTGGTCCGTTCGAAGGAGTTATCTTGAAGACAATTGGGCCGACCAAGTCAGTTCTGTACGGGAGCTTGTAAAGAGAGGACTTGAGCGCGTGTAGCTGAAGAATCTCCACCGTTATAAGCCGTTGCCATGGAACGGTTGGTGTAAACACAGCAGCCTGGAAAAACTTAGCGGGTGTTGTAGCGAATTGTGGTGATTAGCAGTTGCGCTGTACTTACTTGTACTTAGGAGTTGAGTGTATAAGTGGTCAATAAATGGAGTCACCAATCCAAACCCCGTCTGTAGTCACTCATGTACATGACAGTATGTATCTACCAGATTACATCGTGTCACATCTAGGGAAACCTATCCACCAAAGTGCGGGGTGTCATCCTATACCATCGTGACAATGAAGCCATCAGATTCCAGGGATCTACCTACCAAGCCACTTCGCGTCACATGCCAGCAGACCGCCATTGAGAACCCCACTTCGCGAACATTGCCTCGCAGGACAAGATCGCCCGAAGCATCAGCTTGTCTTATCGACATGGGCAATCAGAATGAGTAACACAATGAGGCAATCGAATTCACAGATCAGATCAGAAGCACGTGTTGGCCTCGCGGCCTTACAATGGACACAGCAGGACCAGCTTGAACTGGAGCGCACAAACACTTGGCAGTTGCGGAACGCACGGCCTCCGTTAACCGACTGCTGTGAGACAGA